TCTCCGCACCGACCGGGCAGCGCGCCCGCCGGGGCGCAGCGTGGAGCGCACGCGAGTGCACACACGGACACGTGTGCGCGTGCACACACGCTCCGGGGCACACATGTGCACACGGGCCGGCACATACATGTTGCACGGACACTCCCGCGCACACATGCCCGTGCCCACGTGTGCACGCTCGCACCCCCAGACACGCACCGACACAATCACCAGCAGAACTTCGCAGCCACCGGGCTCCCCTGCGCCACCAGGGACCGGAGGTGAGGATTGCCCGGTGTTTTCCAGTCTCCCTGGAGACCCAGGCCAGCGTGGGGGAACCCTTTCAGGCCTCCCTTCCTCGCTTCTTCCTTCCTTCCTTCCGGGGTCTCCAGGAACCGACCACCGGCCTAGTTGCCATGGCAACTCTGGCTCCTTTCCCTCCCCCCTCCTCCGCCCCACTCCCACCCCCGCCCACCGCCACCCGCGTAGAAAGCGCGGAGGAGGGAATGAGGGTGGCTGGCCCTCCTCATTCCTATCTGTCGGGGCGGGGTTGTGGGAGGGGCTTAAAGATCCGCAGTGACCAGGGGGTGGTCGGAAGAAGGGGGCTGTCCCAAACACTCGCAGTCGCTGGCCTAGAACGGTTACTCACGTACGCTCCTCTCCCTTGGAATACCTTCCCTCTTTTCCCCTGTCAACCCAGGTCACCTCTTCCAAGAAGCCTTCCTGGAGTGTCTGTCCCCTGCTCCACAGCTTCCCGTGCTCTCTGACTCTGCTGACATTGGGTTTTTTGTCGATCCCTGTTTACATCTCTGCTCCCCTACCCCAGAGCTCCCCAGCAAGCACAGGCTGATTCATCTGAGGGCTCAGTGCGCCAAACAACTTGGCACAATCGACATCACTAAGCATTTGTCATTTGAAAGTTAGAGAAATATCAGACTCTTTAGAAGCACGACTAGTTACTATCAAATGGTTAAAAATCAAGGTTTAACCCACACTATCGTAAACGGAGACTCTCCCATCCACTGTTCGTGCAAAAGTTATAGGCACTTTTGAGGAGGTCAGACTGGTGGGGGATCTCAAGATGGCAAAAACACAGTTTGACCCAGAAAGTCCACTTCTAGGATTTAATCCTAGATAGGTTGGTGCATGAGCAGAACAGTAGAAGTTTAGGGTTATTCACTGCAGCGTGCTTGCAAAGGCAACAGATTGGAAACAACTTAAACGCCCATTGGTGGAAGACTGGTTACGTCATCAAGATGCATTCAGACCACAGAAGAGTATGGAACCACGTATATAATAAAGAGGCGCTTATTCAGACATCCATTGTTCATAGCGTCACTAAGAGTCGTAGTCAACTTGAGAGCATGTAGCAACAAAGTTCTTAAAAAGCAAGACAAAAAATGTAATTGGAAAGATATTTATTATTAAAGTATTCCCTAACAGAAAAAAAATAAATAAATAAATAAAGAGGCGCTTAATAGATTTGGATAGAAGCATCATCAGTAGCCAGTGTTCAATGAAAAAAGCAAGATGCAGCATAGCATTTACTGCCTGCCATTTGAGTCCTTTTTATAAAAGGTTTAGATGTTTATTTGCACCTATTATTTCTGGAAGACAGCACAAGAAAGCTGTAGCTATGGTGGCCTCTGATGAGGTTGATGTAGGGCTGGAGGGGGCAAGACGAGGAGGGAGACTTAATTTTCCAATATATATCCTTTCGTGCTTGTGAATTTCATACCCTGTGCACAGGGGCAAATTATCCAATAAGCGAAGTAAGCGCGGGTATGCTGTTAAGTACAGTGGAGTCTGAACTAATCCATAGCTGACCCTCCGGCGGGTTTTCAGAGGCACTTAATCCCACGGGAGGAGATTGCCCATTCTTCTCCCGTGGAGCAACTGGCAGATTCGAACTGCTTGCATTCGAGATTGCAGTGTAAATTCTTACCACTAGGCCAGCAGAGCTCCCTAAACACGGGCATACACACATTTATTTACAAATCTGTAGTGAAAAGTCTCATCTGGCTTCATTACAGATAAGTGAACACAAGTAAACTTTGCTTCCTGGGTACTCTCTAGGAGGGATTATAAACTGGAACAGAGGCCTTGGTTCTGAGGGAGACACTGTGGGATTGACGGACTGATGCCCGCTGTACCTAAAAGCAGAATCATTGATGTGGAGGGGAAATGAGAAATCAATTATTAGAGATTAATAAATGGGCACTGCTAAACTTGTATTTACCTTGCTTATTAGGTAATCCAGTACTTCATGCGTGTATGGACTTAGTAAAAAATAATTCATTAAACTAAAATCTATGTTAAGCAAAAACAGTCACTGGATGTCCTTTGGGGCTCCCCATGGTCAGAAAGGGGGCAGGACTAAGGGGTGCTCAGCTAAGCACTACAGCTAGAGGAGTTGATAGAAAGGCTCCCACAGGGAAAGGGAGGGAGGCCATCTGGTCAAGGGGCTTGAAGGATCCCATCTCCCCCACTGCTGTTTTCTTGCTGAAGTCAGTTTGAGGCCCAGGTCAGCAAAACTTGTTGAAGGATGCTGAGGACAAGACTGGCAATCAAATAGGTTGCAGAGGAAAATGGCAGACAGGGTCCTGCCTTGTCCAGATGTGGGAAGGCTTGTCAGTCAGGGGATCCACCATACACAAAATATTTGTTAGATGTTCATGCTCATTGCTGTGGAGTTGGAACAGATTCATAGCTGACTCTCCAGTGGGTCTTCAGAAGTTGTAAATCACACAGGAGGAAACTGCTCCTTTTTCTCCCTCAGAGCAGTTGGTGGGTTTGAACCATTTGCCCCTGGGTTGGCAGTGCACCTCCTCACTAGGACAACAGAGTTCCCAGGCAGAGAGCCTATATAGATGATGATGTTACAACTGTGACCAAGCTCAACAGGATCCCTGCTTCATAGCCTCACAGGAGAGAAAGGCAAACAGACAATTCCAGTTCAGGGTGGTGGATGCTGTCATGGGGGACTGTCAGAAGGCTGTGGGAGTTCAAAGGCTATTTCCCAGAGGAGGTGCTGTCTCAGATGAGACCTGAAAGAAGAGGACAGGATGAGGGAACCAGGTCAAGTATGTAAGAGCCAAGCTTGGAAGGCAGGCAGTGTTGTCGGCCAAGGGTAACGAATAAAGAATGAGACAGGACACCAAGAATGGAGGGAAAACAGAGCATAAAGCATGGGGTGAACAGCTGGAAGAACTGAAGTGCCAACCCCAGCTTTTCTGTATCTTTATTGAAAATTGCCAGGGAGCAAATCACAAAGAGAATTCTATGCAAATGGAGCTAAGCTCTTTCTATTGAAAACCTTATGCTTAACTCAGCAGGGAGGGGTTAGCAAATATAATCCAAGAATTGTGAAAACATCTAAGGTCTGCCTTGGTGCTTCAGGCGGTTTCCAGTTTGTATCTTTGCCTCCCACATATCCTGATATAGCATTTGATTTATCATTAATATTTAGTTTGAAATTAGGCTTCCCACAAGGCAGGAACGACCATATTCGAAGAATGGGCAAAAAGCCAGTGTAGATGGCACATGCAGAGTCCAGGACAGCATTCACAGAGCTAAGCTGAGTGTCCGGGTAGGCATGGTCATCAAGGATCCTATAGACCAGGGTATGAAGCTCACCATTCATATCAGGAACACTGGGTAGCCATCAGAAAAGCCTGGAAAATGTTCTGATTGATTCTGGCTGGACCATAGGGAACATAATAGTTATCCAGTACTGTGATAGTAGAAATACCACAGATGGATGACCTTCTTACAGCTCAGGAAGCCAGAAGTCTGAATTCAGAACACTGGCGTTCTTTCGCTGTCTATTCTGTAAGAAGGCTCTTGTCTCTCTGAGATTCTCTCCTGGGTAATCTGTGGCTCAGTATCTCTCTCTCCTCCCATGTCAGTTTACTCACTTACTTGTTTAATCTCCTTTAGAGCTCAAAAGAGATGGACTCAAACTGCAATCAGCCCTAATCTTGCCTCTCTAGCAATAATAAAACATGTATTTACAAAATTATTATAACCAAAAGCAAAAGCCAAAGTTTACAACATACATTTTTTTGAGGGGTGGGGCGGTGAGGAACAGAATCCAATCCATGCATAACAAGG